TTTGTTACCCTTTTTTTGTTTCCCCTTCACAACGGAGTTCTTCTCCCCTCGCACTATAGTTTGCATCGTTTGCCAGATCAATCCGCCCTGCCTGCGCCACCCTTTCATACCCGCACTCGCCTCAAACAAAAATCTCAGCCACATCCCGACCGCCGAACCACCGATGATGCTATTCCGTTTCCACCCAATTATGCGCAGCCTATTATTTCTCCCCGATTGAGAGCTGCACCTTGCGCGTGGATCTACCTCCCACCCACACACACAATAGAACTCCTCTTACTCCATTCATCAGGGTTCAGAAGTAACTAATACATATCGACAAAATCTGACATCATTGTCTCGGCAATTACATCCGCGCAGCTTCCTTTCTTCCCGCCGTCACCATGTCCAAAGCCGGAACCTGGATAAAGATGTTCGTCGTGTAAGTTTACCCTTTTCTTTCTGCGAATTTGGGAAATATCAATATTCGACGGAAAAGCTGATGGGTTATTTTTATTCTAGCGGCACGGTGATCTGTGTCGGCGGCCCCGCTCTCGTCCAATCAATCCGTCCTACCGATGAGGAATTGTTTAAGCGGTATAACCCCGAGCTTCAACGGCGGAGTTTGGAGGAGGGAGATCGTCGCGCGCAGGAATTCGATGATTATGTGAATCGGTTGAAGCAGTGGTCTAAGTCGGATAAGTCGAGTATGTTTTGTTCCCATCTATCTGGGGGGTGAAGTGAATATAAATTGGAAGATGGTTGTCGGGCTAATGAGGTCTGGGATAGTCTGGGTTGCGGCTCAGGAACAACAGGAACAGATGCGGACACAGGCTGCGGTGCAGCGGAGTCAGGTGAAGGATGAGGCGAAGGCACAGCGTGAGGAGATGCGTAAGGAGTTGCTGGGTGAGAAATAAAAAATCTCGTGGGTATGTGTTGTGATTCAAAGGAATATCGGGTCTTGGCTTTACCCCCATACATATACCCTTATCTTGTACTTATACCCATGGTCACTGGGCCGGAGGGAGTCAAAAGCTTTGTGCATGAATCATGGGCCGAGTCTTTTTGCCGGGAGTTTTTGGTTAGGCGCTTTTTTTCTTTTCTTTTTTTTTTTTTT